CATGCACAGGGGCTGACAGATGGCCCAGGGAGCTTGTCTTGCTCTCATAGGGGACCCAAGTTTGGTTTCCTGTAACTCCAAGGGTGTCCAGTGCCTTGGGATCCTGCAGGCATCCGTGCTTACATGCTCGTAATTAAATCTTTTAAAAGTTGTCATACACAAAAAGTTACAACAGTACCAAACATGAGGAGTATGTGGGAGGGAGAGTGAACAGACTGTCAACGCCTGGTGGGGCCTCAGCTCAGACCTCTCCTGTCCCTCATTCAAGGCGTTTCCACCATCACAGACTGTGCTCCATCCTGACTCCAGACTGTGAGCTACTTGTTTGTCTGGTAGAGTCAATTAACAGTGGTCTAAGTCGGACAGCAAGAGTTGTTGGGAACAGCATGCACGAAGGCCTGGACAAGAAGCTGCATGCCCACACGGGGAGAGGGAGGCAGAGGAGGTTTTAAGCAGGCGTGACATCAGACGGTCCTTTAGTAATGATCTTAGCTCCCCATAAGTTAAGTGGGGACTGTCAAGTCAGGTGTCAAGGCTGCAGAGTAGCCTGTGTGTGGAGTTGGACCAGCAGTGAGGCTTGTCTAGAGGTACAGAGGGCAGCCCAAGAACTTTTCCAAAGAGAAACTCGGGGGAGTTCCAAGAGTGCTGGTCCCCAAGGGGGAGCAGTGGAAAGGCAGGTGGAGTAGCTCAGTCCGAGAGCCCACCTTTGCAGAGCACAGTACTCTGTACTTCCTCCTGGGTCTTTAGGCTCACCACAGACTTGGGGTGTAGATACTGCTGTCTCCTAGTCTTTCCTTGCTACTTTCTCTGTACCTGTGCCTCTCCTGGGACCAGTCCTGCTTTTCTGCCAGCTTTGGCTGGTGAGTCCCATGTCTGAATTCCTAGCACTGGCTTCCGTTTCCCTCTGGACCTTTAGCTTTCCTCCAGGCAAGCCAGCGCTGAGAATGGCCTTGGGACAGCAAGGTAGCTCCTTAGATAAAGGTGCCTGCTACCAAGCATGACAATTGAGTTCATCCCCAGGACCTACATGATAGAAGGAGAGAACTAGCTTTCAAGTTGTCCTCTGACCTCTACACATACACACAAACATAACACATACAACTTTTTTTTTGATTTTTGAGACAGGGTCTCATTAAGTAGTCCTGGCTGTCCTGGAACTCGTTCTGTGGACGAGGCAGGCTTCAATTTCACAGAGATCATCCTGCCTCTACCTCTCCAGTACTAGGATTAAAGGTGTAAACCACCCATGCCCTGCCCAGCCAATGCATGTAATTTTTTTTTTAAGATTTATTTATTGTAAAAAAAAAAGGAACCGGGCAGTGGTGGTGCACGCCTTTAATCCCAGCACTTGGGAGGCAGAGGCAGGAGGATCTCTGAGTTCCAGGACAGCCTGGGCTACACAGAGAAACTCTGTCTTGAAAAACAAACAAACAAAAAATGATTTATTTATTGTGTATATAAAAGTCTCCCTGCACACCAGAAGAGGGCACCAGATCCCATTACAGATGGTTGTGAGCCACCACATGGTTGCTGGGAATTGAACTCAGGGTCTCTGGAAGAGCAGCCAGTGCTCTTAACCACTGAGCCATCTCTCCAGCCCACATTTAATTTTTTTTTTCCCCGAGACAGGGTTTCTCTGTGTAGCCCTGGCTGTCTTGGAACTCACTCTGTAGACCAGGCTGGCCTCGAACTCAGAAATCCACCTGCCTCTGCTTCCCAAGTGCTGGGATTAAAGGCGTGCGCCACCACTGCCCGGCCCACATTTAATTTTTAAAAAAAGAAATCAAGTCCTCCGTCAGTTCCTTGATTTACCAGCTAAGCATTTTCAGCTGCTTTCAGGAGTAGGAGAAGTTGTCTGTGACACAGCCTCCTTCTGGGTGTGATACTGTACTTGGCCCTGTATGAAGACTGAAGCCCAGAAAAGACAAGGCCTCTGGGACGCCACAGTTCCTGATCTGCAGAGCACTTGATATTCTTGCCCAGGCTTCATAGCTCCTTAGGACATACAGGTAGCTTTACAGGCTTCCGAGACAGACCCACACCTCTCTGTGTAGCCCATAGCCACCTCTGTTTGCCAGTGCTTTGAGCCTGGCTGGTTCTATTTAGGGTTGGCCTTGAGCCTGGGTTCTCCACCTTTTCTTGAAAGTTTTGTAGAGGACTCATGTTTGGCCAGGCATAGAAGTGCTGTGAAGTAGATTCTAGAAAATAATGGCTTGGTTGGCAACGTAGGTTGTTAAAGGTGGCCGTTTGTTCACGTGCGCTGGGGGGGCTGTCAGTGGGTTCGAGCAGTACTTGGAGGCAATTTGGTATAAACCTGCTGTGCTTTGAAAGGGCAGTGGACCTTGCTTCAGCCTCCTCTCCTGGCAGGGCCTAATCTATGCACTGCCTGGGGTGCAAAGGGGCTTTTGGGCCAAGCCAGGGTCAGCGTCATCTAACCGTCCTGCTCCCCAGCTCTCCACCGGCCAGCTCTGTTCCTCCGAGCTGGTTTTGTTTGTTCTGATCTGTCTGCAGTTTTCCCATAGGGAAACCTGGAGGTTTCTATGGGTTGCCCAGGAGGTCCCTGGCACATTGCTGCAAAGCACAGAGGAGCTTAGTCAACAGCTGGTGAGGGAATGAGTCACCCAGGGCTTGCTGGACAAGAACAGCTGGTTCTTATCCATCCCCTTCAAGCCAGCAGCCAAGTGTCTCCCCATGCGTGTGTTCCTTCAGTCTTCCAGCTAAAGGCGAAGTGGCTGGCTGTTTCTACAGATGGAAGTCCAAAGCACTGAAAAGGGTAGCTGTTCATTTGGTTGCCATGGGAGCCTGTACTTTACATGTGTCTTGATCATTGTGAGCAAGCACCCTTCCTCCTTTTCCACAGAACAAAACAAGAAGATGATAATCAAGAAGTCAGCCACTGGGAACGATGTACACGCTTATAATCCCAGTGCCTTGGAGGGTTAGGAGTTCAAGGACATCCTCCACTAAATCAGGTTCAGAGCTAGCCTGGGCAGGTCCCTTCCTCTGCTCTCTATCTGCTGCTGTAAAAAAAAGTCTTAGGATCCATACTGAGCCCTGCCATACACCAGAATTGCTCTATCCCCAGAGATTGCTTACATCCATTCTGAGGAGGGCTGTGGAGATAGGTTGTGGTCAGCTGGGCTAGATGGACTTCCATTCCCTCAGCTGATTCTGACCGGTGACTGTGGGTGGCTTTGTTTTTGTGGGAAGCTGGCCCTTACCTCTTTGTTTTCAGGATTGATTGATACTTCAGTTTCCTGAGCTTCAATGCTGGGAACACTTTGACATGAATTCATAGTATAAAACGGCTCAGATATGTTGAGGGCCATTTTAGAAAGTATTGGAAATTCTGCCCTAATTCTAAGTCCAAATTAATTTGATATTTTTAAAATGAAATTCAAGTCAGCAACTCAAACAGCAATTTCAAAAATCAAACATTCTGATAATATTCTCCAACAATTCACTAATTTGATCCTTAAATGCCGAGGAATGGCAGTAGAAAAATACTCTTTCTTTTCTGTAATTAAACCTCTGTGTTTCTGTACCAGTAGGTAATTTTGTGCATGGAGGGAAAGCAGTGTAATCTCTAACACAGTGGTCTCTAACCCATAGGTGTTTCCAGCAGCATTTGTCGGCATTTGGATAGCCATTGCAGCATGGCACGCGTCATGAAGTCATGGCATGGGCAAGAGCTGCCAGACACACTGGAGCCATTTTCAGCACTGTGCTGTAGTAGTTTATGTGGGTGTTTGGGTGCACATATGGAGGCCAGAGGACAACTCTCAGGAGAGTCGGTTCTTTCCGTCCACCATGTGGATCCCAGGGACAGGGATCTGACTCAGGTTGTCAAGCGGCAGTAAGCACCTTTGCCTGCTGAGCCACCTCACTGGTCCCCTGGCACCGTCTCGTAGTTTTATTTTGCTCACTTTTAGAAATAAAGTCTCAGTCTAGGCTGTCCAAGAACTTACCACATAGTCTAGTCTTCTTGTTCTTGATGTCCTGAGTGCTGGGGTTAGACCATCTCACTGTCAGACCTAGTTGAAAAGTCGCTCTTGAGGGACAGCAGCAGGGATGGCAGATGGAGACACTGAATAGGACATTCTCTGTTACAAGGGTCCTCTGTCAAGAGGGACACGACCAGGAGGTGACAGTGCCCTCAGGCTAATTTGTAAATTGTGGCTTTTTAAAAAAAAAATGTTTATTTTGTATGTGTGAGTACACTGTCCCTGTCTTCAGACATACCAGCAGAGAGCATGATATCCTATTGCAGATAGTTGTGAGCCACCATGTGGTTGCTGAGAATTGAACTCAGGACCTCTGGAAGAGCAGTCAGTGCTCTTAACCTCTGAGCCATCTCTCCAGCCCCCGAATTGTGGCATTCTTTAGTCTCTGTTTGGACTCCAGGCTGTGGTGGATGCCTCTGCCCCGTGTGAGAAGAAGTTGTGCACACATAAACTTGTAGACTGGTTTCTTGTTATCCTGTGTCACACCCAAGTGGCTATTTCCCCCTGTTGTCTGATGTGTCTTCTGGAGAGGCAAACTCATTTCCATGTGGGCTCAGGCAAGGTATAATTAGGACAGTAAATCCGTAGGTTAACAAAAGTAGTTTTGACAGATTTCAGACCCTACTAAGAAGGGCTTATACACAATGTATTAAAAAATGTAATTAAAAAAAAAAAAGACTTAAAGAAACTGAGAGTGGTGGCACAGACCTTTATTTAATGCCCGGTGCTCAGAGACCTAAAGCAGCAGGATGGTGAGTTCTAGCCTGCAGGGACACACTAATGAGCCCCCAGGGATATGACTTATTAGAACAGCACTTGCCTAGCATGCACAAGGCCCTAATGTCCAGCCCATACCAGTACCCACAGTACTGAGATTTAATTCTCAGAAGCAGCCCCAGAGCTCCCCAAGAGGGCTAGGCCTTGCTCAGCTTGCCCACTCCTTCCCTCAGCCCTTGTGCCCACTGCTGACCAGGCCTGCATGTGTCTTGACAACAGGATTTCCCAGCCTGGTGGAGCATCTGACTGGTGAGTGTGCCAGCTGGCCTGTGTGACCCAGCTCCTGCTCTGCCTGGCTTCTCTCTCCTGGGAAGATGTTCCTGGTGGGCCTAACAGGAGGCATTGCCTCAGGCAAGAGCTCCGTCATCCAGGTGTTCCAGCAGCTGGGCTGCGCTGTGATTGACGTGGACGTCATTGCCCGGCACGGTGAGTTGGGTGCACAGCAGGGTCCCCTGCACTTCCATCATTAGACTCCGCCTTTTTAGAGTGTTCTGAGAGACACTCCATGGCTGTATGGCCCATCTCTTGCCCTGGAGGCTCTTTTGTTTATTCTTCCTCCGCAAGAGTCCAGTCATCCTAAACTCAGCTCCGTTCACAGGCTTGAGGGAGTCCGTGTGCTCTGCTCAGCCCCTTTGTTTACTTTGGCTCCAAAGGAAGGATGCAGCCTTGGGTTCCCCCGTCAGTCTGCCTCTGGTCACTGGGGGGCTTCTGGGTATCGAGAGGCTCTGGAATGACTCGGCCTCTTCATACCACAGTTGTCCAGCCAGGGTATCCTGCCCACCGGCGTATAGTGGAGGCCTTTGGCACTGAAGTCTTGCTGGAGAATGGCGACATTGACCGCAAGGCCCTTGGAGACCTGATCTTCAACCAGCCTGACCGTCGGCAGCTGCTCAACTCCATCACCCACCCTGAGATCCGCAAGGAGATGATGAAGGAGACCTTCAAGTACTTTCTCCGAGGTGAGGCTCTACACTGAAGGAGACACACATGCCCAACAAAGCAGGGCCTCTCTCTGTGAATCTGGGCCAGGGCAGGGAGGTGGCTCACTACAAGGCTTAGTGCTCTAGCTCTCCGTCAGTCATGACTACTTCTTGGAGGATATGAGGACCCATTTTGGTTGTCTTCAACCAAATGTCTTATGTAACGATTGCCAGGCCCCTTTCTTCATGGCTCAGGTCCTTGTGTATGCAGTGGGGAATATCCCCCTAGCTCGTCCTCTGCTCAGTACTTCCCTCTAAAAGACAATGATGAAAGCATCTATACTGATGACCCAAACTTGTCTCTCAGTCCCTAAAGTGCTGGAAAGGCCAGAGCTGACTCTTAGCACCTGTTTTTCTAAATGCCCTCCTGCTGTTTGTCCCTGAGACATTGCCTCTGTCCTCCTTCCATGTCTGCCAGCCCACCACTGTGCCACTGCTCCCTCTGCCCACCCCTGCCTGGCAGAGCCTTCTGCCTTCATCTCTGCCCTTTGCATTTGCTCCCAGGCCAGCTCCGAGTACATTTGCAGGGCTGTGAGGCGCCGGTGGCTTCCCCCTTCTGAAATTAAGCATTGGATAATGTCACCAGCTCCAAAGCTCTCCTGTTGTGCCAGTCACCCAGCCTCCCCACCTCCCCAACCAGTACCACTTAAATAAAAGCCAGAAAGCTCTTTTCAGTTCGATAAGGTGAAAAATGGGGACGACAGCTGTGACTTCCACAGTCCCAGCTTCTCCCCGATGAGTTTAACAAATACAACTGTCAAAGTTGGTATAATCACATGTCAGATAAGATCAGCAGCTGTTGGGGAGGTCTCTGCGTAGGCAGGCGGATGTCTTAATAGAGTCAGGATAGTCTGCAGGGCTTATCAAGCAGGAGGCATGTGGCAGCTGAATAGCCCTTCACCGGTGAACCAAAGAGCTGGCTTCCAGCTCCCAAGAGGGACCCAGGAGAAAGGACAGTGAGAGGAGGAGGGAAGAGGGGGAACGGGAAAGGGAGATAAGGGGCCCAGGGAGGATCTGGTCTTTTCTGTGGCTCAATGCTGTAAAGGGTGAGCTCTGAGGCGCAAGGTCTCAATGCCAGCTTCACTCCCTCCTCCCAGAAACAATAGCAATAACACCCATCATTTAGGGGGCACTTAGCTGAGGGAGCCTGCCTTTGCTCAGTGGTTATACACTCTCAGAGCTGTGCCCAGCACCCTGTGGAGCAGGTATTCCATTCATTACATAGATTAATTTTGTTAAGGACCTGCAGTCATGTGGGGTGCTGCAAACCACGGTGTGTCAGCAGAGTCAGGACCCCAACACCCTCATCAGCCATGGCTGCTCTTCAGCTTCCTGAGTACTGGTTGTGGGGAGCAGTAACCCCAGTAGCTGGGGTGTGGTTCTGCGGTTGAAAGTGTAGGATGAGACACCTCCAGCCTGGGGTCTCTGAGTGCCAGCAGGCTCTGTCCTTCCCTTCCGCCTTTTACCCCTCCCGACTTTGTTCATCCACAAAGGGCCGGAGATGCAGCAGGAGTGTACATAACTGTTGGGTGTGCTCACTCACGGTATGCTAGGACATCACCTCTCTCTGGCTTCTGTTATGGGAGGGCTCGTGGTGCTTTTTCTCCATTGAGGGAATCCTGTAGTTTGCACGAACTACGCTTGCTGCTCTGGTATGGTACAGGTGTCTCACAGAAAGCCTCAGGGGTGGCCATTGGGACTGTAAAAGGCAGCTATGTGTGTACCTAGCTTCCAGGAACAGGCTTGTCCTTTAGGGTTTTTTGAACCAGTGTGAAATGAAATAGGACAGAAAGGCCTCAGCATCTCCCAGAAACTCTTCCTAGTCTCCTGCAGCCCTTGCTATGTCCTGCCTCTGGTTAGAAGTAACTTGTGTAGTTGAAGATGAAGGTTTACCCTGATCAGCTAGTCGTCTCCTGGACACTGTGCTCCAGACTCCGTCTGGTCTGCACAGGAGAACTTCCCAGCTCCTTGGGTTCCGCTGCTCCTCATCTGGAGATCCTCACCTCTGCCTCCTCTTTCCAAGTAACCACATCTCGCCTGCTTTTCAAAGCCAGTGCAAATGCCAGCCCTTCTCCAAGGTCTTCCCTGATCAGCCAGCCAGAAGTTATTTTCTACAGCATTCTGCTCTGAATGGCGTTGGGACTAGCTGGCACTCAGGGTATGTCTGTCCTTGGAAGGTCTCCCATCTGCTGGGGCACTCTCCGTGGCATGGCCTGGTCACAAGCATCCTTCTTGGTACTCCTGCAGAATTGAACTTGGGCGTTTCCATCCTCTCCCCAGGGTATCGCTATGTGATTCTGGACATCCCCCTGCTGTTTGAGACCCAGAAGCTGCTCAAGTACATGAAGCACACAGTGGTGGTGTACTGGTAAGTGAGGCGTGGCCTGACTCAGGGGGCCGGAAAGGACACTTAATGGAAGGTGTGCCTGGAAAGCATCCCTTTACACCTTTCTCATGAGGTGCTCAAGGCACAAAGTGGGTTGGGGTAGTGGTACCCAAGCCTGCAGACACCAACTTTTGTACCTGGTCCTGATGCACCTGGGGCAGGTGCGTAAGAGGGGCCCAAGGCTTCTCTGGTGTTTGGGAAGGGCTCCCCCTGCTGGCCGTTGGAGACACTTTGGTTGGGCTGCCTGGGCTTGCCTCTGGCCAGCCTGTTACTCTCTGGCTCCCTTCCTCCTAGGGCACTTCACATACTTTCAAACAGCGTCCTTTCTTCAGCACGAAGTACGCATGGCAGGGGCCACTTCTGACTCAGAAAGGGAAAGTGGAAGTGGAGGAAGTTGGAAAATTTGTTGAAGATGATCCATTGGTACACCCACACTCTAGAGAGAGCTGTGTGGAGGTAGCTGTCAGAAGCCACCTAAGGAAGGAGCTTCTCAGAATCCCCCAGGACAGGAAGCAAATCAGAATCCAGGTTTGACAAACAGGAGAATCAAGCTGCCAGAGAAATGAGTCACATAGTCCCTTCATGTGAGAGTAGATGAGGGTGCAGGGTGTGTCTGCTTCCCACAAACTTCCCAGATGTCACCCACAAGTGTGGCAGACACATAGGTGGCCTTTATTCTGCAGGTATTTTGAGCACAAGGTAGTTCTCAAGGGATTGGTGTGTGGGAGGCTCCTTGTACACTGAAATTCTCAGTGCCCTGAATATTGCCCTACCCTTACCCCAGGTCTCTCAGGGGCTGTCACTTTAAGCTCAGTCTGAATGCCCTGTGCCTGGTACTGGGATACAGACATCCTGTCAGTTCCTCCACAGGGCTGTGCTTCCCTGTGTAAACCTTTGGTCTCCCTTGTTTGTCTTGTTTTTAGTGGCTATGACTATAGAACCCAGGGCCTTGCATATGTTAGCAGCTGCTCTGATAGCTAAGCTATATCCCTAGCCTGTCTAGGTTCTTTATTCTATTGTGGAAGATACCAGCTGAGCCCAGGAGGGCCCTGTGGATTTTCTATGCTTTCATAACAAAATTAGGGGACTGGAGAGATCACTTAGCATTTAAGAGCACTTGCTATACAGGTTTAGGTTCCAGCATCCACATGGTGGCTCACAACATCCTTAGCTCCAGCTCCGAAGAATCCGATTCCTTTTGGTTTCTGTGAGCACCAAGCACACACCCAATGCCCTTACATACATGTAGGCAAAAACACTCAGAAAATAAATAAATCTCTAAAAAAACTTGATGTAGGGATGGAAGAGGAAGGTAGGACTGCTTGCTAGTCACCGAAAGGAGCTATATACCTTGTGAGGCCGCGTGAAGCACTTTCTACAGAGATTGTACTTAAATGTGACCCGTGATGTTTTTGTGAAGACTTGGGAAGGAGTAAAGGAAAACATCGCCATAACAGAATCAAGTGTCACTGTCACAGCCCTGCATTCTAGGGCTCTCTGTTCTGTACCACACTTTTAGGAGAGTGTATAACCAAGCACCTGCCAGCCATAGACACATGGCGTCTAAAGCATGTGTCCTCCGCCCACTACGTCCTCTCTGGTGAGATTGGCTTTCATAGAGGAGGCTGCTCTCCTGTGCGGCTCTTTTCTGTTTCTCTGGTTGCAGATAAAGACCTGGAGTGGTGAAAATTGTCCCATTTTATAGCAAGGAACACTGAGGCAGATAGGCAAGCAGAAAGGCCTAGATAATGGAGAACAAGTGCTACAGCCCTCTCCCCTTCTGCTCTTGTCAGTAGTCTGATGGTTGATAGGGCCATGGGTCCTGCTGTACAGGATTTGTCACTGTGGCAGGATGGCTCCTGTGTGACTGCAAGAGAGGGAGTTTCTGAAGGGAAGATGCTGTCTTGGCCTGTGTTCCAAGTTGGGCCAGCCCAGCTGCCCACTCCTGAATCTTGCTGTGGAGAGGGCGGCTGGGCCCACAGTCCACTTCTGCTCTGCCTTTAGTGACCGCGATACACAGCTGGCACGGCTGATGAAGCGGAACAACCTGAACCGGGAGGATGCCGAGGCGAGGATCAATGCCCAGCTGCCCCTGAAGGACAAGGCCCGCATGGCCAGCCACGTCCTAGACAACTCGGGCGAGTGGAGCCTCACCAGACGCCAGGTCATCCTCCTGCATGCCAAGCTGGAACGCTCCATGGAGTATCTGCCGCTTAGGCTCGGGTTCCTGACGGGCCTCGCAGGCATCGCCAGCCTCCTCTACCTGCTCACCCGTTACCTTCTCCCTTCCCCCTAGCTGGGTACACCCAGGCAGCAAGCCTTAGGCCTCCTTCTCTTGAGGCCTAAGTTTGGTACCATGTCCACAACACTACACTCTCTCTGACTCTGAGACTGGCCTCTGTGGTGGGCCAGCTCTGGAGTGTAACCAGTCTGGGACTCAGCAAAAGAAGCCCACTGACAGTATGTACCTCTTCCTCCCCCACCCCCATTCTCCCCAGAGCCCTGCCATCCCCAACTACCACCTGCAGAACAATATCCATGGTGGCAGGAAAACAGCAGTTAGCAGTCTCTGTGGCTCTCCCCACGGTTACGACTATGTAGCCAAAAGTGTCTTGGGCTTGAATGTCTCAGAGCATCTGCCCCATCATGGCTACAAACTTCCTAGTGGACCACAGCAAATCCCTCCAGACTCCAGGCCTTCAACAGCACTCTCTCCTGGGTGCCGTGGGAGTCTCCTCCTGGGCGTGCTGTGCCTGGGTGAGGCAGAGCCCTCTGGAGAAACCCAGCTGCTTACAGAGCTACCCTCGGCCACTCCCTTCCCGACTCTGCCTCTGAGCCCTGTGCTCTTGGCGTTCCCCCAATGCTCTCTTACCTCTGTGCCTTCCCCTGAGTGCTCCCTGCCCGCAGTATCTTATCCCTGGCTGCCCCAGGTCAGGCACCAGCAGCCCCAGACTGAGTTAGGTGCTGTAAAGATCACCTACTGTTTCATCTTAATCCACAATAGGATAATCTGTAAACTGGTTGGGTTCTCCCAGACTGTACGCCTCTAGATGGCAGGGCTGATTCATCACCACTCTCGTGTACTGCAGCCTGCTCTCCACTGGTGCTCAATAAATTGAATTGATCTGAAATGTCCTCCGAATTCCGCTTGGCCTCTGTTCACTCTGAGGAGGCCTAAGCATAGGACTCTAGTCAGTCCTGTGCACCTCAGGGAAGTCGGTGGAGCTGCTGGGGAGAGCACATTCACTCGCCACGGGTCTGCTTTTTTTCTTTCTCCACCCAATTAGACCAGTGCAGACATCAGCCTTCCCAACCGGCGTCTGCAGACCTGCTGATGTGTAGATCTTGTTCGCAGCAGCCTATTAAGGCCAGAAATGAGTGACTAATGTGAAGGCAGCAGCAGCCATTTTTAATGCCCCTTTCACAGAGCTGCTTAAACCTCAGAGAGCAGCTCGTTAGCTCCTTGTACATTGCTAAGCAGCAAAAGAGGGCTGGGACAGCCTGTGAGGAGCTGTGGGAAGGGAAGAGACGACCTGCTCCCTCAGGTGGGCGGAGTCTAGCAGAAACCTGGTGAAGGGCGGAAGTTCAGAACCCCTTGTAACTGACGATTGAGAAAAAGATCCTGGAATCCTGTGGCATGCGGACCGCCAGGAGATGTGGTTTGGGTAGTGCAGGTTGGTGGGAACTGCAGACTTTGAGTCCCCTCTCAGGAGGAGCAGGAGACCCAGAACTGGGGTCCTTGTTTCCTTACCTTTGGTTTCTACACGGTAAGTAGAGGTCTGTAAAAACCTTTTTTAAACCTTGGAATTTGAGCAAGAACTTTCTTGGCCCCTCCCTAAACTGCATCTAAAATGGTTCAGAGCGTGAGAACAGGTCGGTCTGGAGGGTGTGCAGAAGCCAGTGTCGCTGTGCACTGGCCCTGACCGCACTGCAGCTGCTCTCCTCGTCTCCTCTCCTGACCACTGGCTAAGGTGGCTTTGGGGAAAGGCTGGATCACTGGACCTATCCACCTGGAACAGCGCCTCTCCAGAGCAGGTGTCCTCCCCTGTGGCCAGCAGGTGGCAGCACTCCCCCAAGCCAGCATCTGGGCCCAAGCAGCTCGCTCCCATGGAGCCCTTAACTTTACCCCCCAGGGCAGTAGACCATCTCAGAGCCGCTGATTCTGAGCACCAATTAAAAAGTCACAGCTGGGAATCTCGGAGCAGTAGTGCATGCTGGGAATCCCATCATTAGAGACGCTAAAGCAAGATTACAGGGTTAGACATCAAGTTTGAGTTGCCCAGCCAGATCTTGCCTCTTGTCTCTTCCTCCGGTCCCTGGGCCACAGTTCCTGCCTTCATCACTCTTAAGAGTAGAAGTAGGTTGCTGTGGGTACATGTTCACCTGCCTCTCGACAAGGATTGGAGGATGCAGACAGCCCCTAAAGCTGCTTCCCTCTCCTGGTCCAACTTGCCCAAGGTTAATAATGGTTTTGTACTTGACTGAAGCACAGTCTGTATCGTCTTCAAATCTCCCGGCTCTGCAAATGGTGTGGGTGATGTAAGGGCAGAGTTTACACGGGTTTCAGAGGGGGTGGAGGTGGGTGCAGCCCCGCACTGTGAGCACCATTCTGGATTCCCAGCGATGTACCGACAACACCTTTATCCAGCCGGAACTGACAACTCTTCAGATGACTTCTCTATCCTTATGGGACAAGGGGCAGGGCAAGAGAAAGCTTGGGAGGATAGTGTCTTTTTCTCAAGTGTCCCTTGTTTCACAAAGGCACTTGATCTCCGGGAGTGGGTGGCAGGCATGGCTGCAGGTGAGGGGGTTGCATGGATGGCCAGGAGAGGCTCTTGAAGATGGCCAGAGAGGCTGAGTGAAGGTAATGAGATGTGGGTTGCTTTCTGCTCTCGTGGATGGGAGAATGGGGCTGGTGGCTGAAGCAGCACCCAGCTGGGACCCAAAGCTGCTTCTTGCTCTCCATCCCTCCCTTCCCCATCACTCAGATTCCAATACAATTTCCAGCTAACCAGCATGTCGATAGAACAAGTCGGGCGGCTGGATTGCTGGCCAATTACAGGAAATCATTCTGCTCCACAGCTCAGCCCTCCCTCCGGGAAGGGGGGCTGGGGGTGGAGAGGGAGCAGACTTCTAACTTGCAGGCAGGGAAGGGGCTTCAGGCTGAATGCAGGGAGCCTGCAGCTTCTCCCCACTCTCTCACACACACACCCCTGGGCAGGCAGCACAGGAAAGGATGGATGGGGAGGCTTTTGAGGACACCAGCCCCGGGTCCTTCCTCAGCCTCACACAGCTCTGTCTGGATCCAATTTTTTTTTGGGGGGTGGGGAGATTGGAGCCCCAAGCTATAGAGAAACACAGAGGCTAAAGGCCTCCAAGGATGACTCCTGAGGTGAGGCATTGTGCTTCAAGGAATTTATTTGCCTGGAAATGAAGATAGACAACTACAAATGAGACTGTTCTGTTCTAGAGAGGACTGGAGAATAGGACGAGGTGGTTACTCAGGGGAACCCTATAAAACTCCTCTGAAGTCCTACAAACCTACAATTCCACAGTCAGCTGCAGCCAAGGAGCTGCAGTGTAGGGCTGTCTGGGGGAATTCAGGAATGGCTCCATGGGAGAGCAGGGGAGCCATGGAATATTGGATACCATGACTTGGCTAAGGGGTTTAAAAAAAAATGCAGTCAGCTTTTCAGTCCAGAAGGTAGATCACAGAAGTGTGGGGGGGGGTCCTCCTCACCTCCCCAGCCCCTCTACCTGGGTCCCACCTCAGGCTCCTGTGGAAGGACACCAAGTGGCCTCCACTCCATCTGCCGAGCTCTGTTCTCACCGGATGCCCCTCGGCCAACTCATTCCATCCCTCCCTAGTTCCCTCCGGAAATGTCTTCAGTCACCCTTCACTAGCCATTAGCACAGAGCCTCTGCCTCCATCTCCCAGACCCTGCTGAAGAGCTCCCCCTTTCCACCACGGGACATTCCCCCAAAGTACTGGACGATCGTTGATGGGCAGAAGCTAGTCCATGAAACCCAGACCCCAATAAATGGCCATTGTGACTGTTTATCTGGAACCCCAACAGTATTGTGACAAGTAATCCATCCCTTTCTCCAAGCTATAGCTACCCCCACCCCCAGAAGCTTCCCCTCCCAATTCCAAAACCTCACTTCTACTCTGCTCCAGGGGCGGGCCTGGGGTGGATTTCACTTACAACTTTTTTTTTTTCCTAGACAGGATTTCACTGTGTGGCCCTGGCTGTCCTGGAACTCACTCTGTAGACAAGGCTGGCCTCACACTCAGAGGGAGCCGCCTACCTCTGCATCCCGAGTGCTGGGATTAAAGGCTTCAACCTGCAGCTCTTTGGCCCACTCAGTGGCAAACAGATGGGCAGCCATGGGCAGGGAAGGTGAACCTGGGATTCTGGAAGAAGATGCAGAGAGAACACAATTGAGGTCATCTTCAAAGTTCCTCTGCTGAGAATCATCCGGAGAGCTGTGTCAGCGCCCAGGGTCTCGTCAGCTGTAGTGTACAAGCTCAGACATCGGGGTGGAGGTGTCTGGGCTGGGTTCTGTTTATGACCATGGTTTGGTGCTCCTGGGCTCTCTGAGGTGGCCCCTCTGGCGCTGCCTCTCCTGGGCCATTCGCCCAGTGCTTGGCGATCCGAAAGAGGGCGCCGATCCTGCTCTCGTAAGGAGGTGCCTACAGCCTACAGGCGCTCGGCAGCCCGCAGGCTCGGTGCCATCGATCCGGCCGCGGGGACCCGGGCGCGCTGCCTCCGCACGCTTGCTTTTCGCTTTTAATTGAAGTTTGTTTGAGCAGAGCGCGGAGCAGGCAGAAGCAGAAACCAAATATTTAGTTGCTGCAAATTGGCACCTCCAGATCAATTACCCGGCCCGTGTCAGGGCCTGCGCCGCCCCCCCGCGCCCCGCGGAATCTCAATGCCGTTCTGCCCCCGCGTGGGCCGCCCGTGCCGCCGGTCTCCATTCCACCGCACGTTTCTCATCAGCTCCAGTCATACATCACCCGTGGCCGCCAGGGAACAGATTTTCAATGTGAAAAGTTCCCCGAGAGAATCCTTGTTGCTGATTCCCACTGCGCCCTGCGCTATCTGGACCCTGGTGCCACTCCTGAGCTTGGACAATGGGAACATCCTGGGGGTCGGAGTTTCAAAGGACTTTGGGTCACACGTGTCTAGCCCCAATCCTAGCAAGTCCACTTACCGGATGAATGATCCTGGAGCCTATTTTCTCTGAGTCTGGGTTTCTCCATCTGTGATTAAGGGGCTTAACCTTCAGCAGGCATGCATGATCAACGTCACTGAAGTGCTGTGTCCTGTTTGGGGTTTCTGTGCATAACACTCTGCTGGGCAGTATGTAGCTCAGTGGGTAGAGTGCTTCCCTAGTGTACATTTAGTCCTAGGTTGGATCCCCAGCACTGCATAAAACTAGTGGTTCTGGCCTGTTATCGCTACATTCTGGAGGTGCATGCAAGAGAGTCAGGAGTTCAAGGTCATCTTCAGTAATAGTAAATTTGAGGCCAAAAAAAAAAAAAAACTTCAAAAAAAAATAAAATCGGCTGTCCTGCTTTGTGTGTGTGTGTGTGTGTGTGTGTGTGTGTGTGTGTGCGCGCGCGCGCGCGCGCGCGCGTGTGTTGACTCCTGGAAAGAAGCCAGCCTCCAGGGTCCCTGGCAGGGCTGGAGGATGACTAGGGCTGGTCAGGCCAATTCCAGGACTCTGTCCCAGCCCAGGTGCCTAAATCAGGACAAGAATTGCACACTAGGCTCTGCCTTGTCCCTAGGCAAGTTACTTGGCCTCAGTTTTTCCCTGCGTAAAATAGGACCACCTCCCAGTGCCTCTGTGAGGAGAAAGGACCTTGCTGGGTGTGAAGGGAGCCTCTCACAGGTGCCAGGAAGGGGCCTGAGTTACGCCAAAGTTCCCTTCCTTCCAACACTCAACCTTCCATTCCCAGAGTCCTTTGGGAAAAATGCAGTCCAAGAGTTTGACATTTCTAAAGGCCACCACAGTAGACAGAGTGACAGGGGCTCTGAGTGGGATGAGCAGTGTGGGGGGAAGTCTGTAGCCCCAGCCTACTGCTGGCCGTCCATACCATGCCTGCAATTCCTACTGCGATGTCTGTCCCC